AAGTCGGGAAAGTGTGGCACTGAAACGAAGGCCGATGAAGTCTCCAGCATGGGTGATCAGCAGGATCACTTGACAAAAACCAGAGAAGATGCCAGCGACCAAGCACCCCGTCGTCTTCATCCACGGTATGCCTCTTCATGCAAAGAACGCGAAGCTCCATTGCCCTCTTTCTCCAGGGGCAATGGGCTGGGGCAAGACGTCACCGCTCTTCAACAGCCTGCCGTCCTACTGGCCGAAGGGTGCTCTAGACGAGCTGAATCCCAACCACATCATTGTCGACGTTGGCAAGGTTTCGTCCGACCACGACCGCGCGTGCGAGGCCTTTTACCAGCTCTTTGGTGGCATCGTCGACTACGGCGAAGCCCACGCCGCGGCCTGCGGTACGATGGCGACATTCTGCACATCAAATTTCCCACCCGCGTAGGTCACTTGCGCTTCGGTGCCACGTACTCGAAAGCCATGGCATTGCACCCCAGCTGGAGCGAGGTAATTCAAGCGTCTCAACATCACCAACTCTTGGTCTCTGTTGATGTGCTCTCTGCCTTGACTCTAGCATAACCCTGTGCACTTGACCGGGCACAGCCTTGGCGCCACGACGGGTACGCACGCAACTCGATGCCACGTGCATGGGATGCTAACAATTATGCGTCTAGCTATCGAGCTCTACCAGTTGCTGTGCAAAGACGCATTCCACGTCGGCTCGAACCACAAGTGGGTGAAGGGCATTGTGAGCATCTGTGGACCGTTGACCGGGTATGCCATTTCGTCCGCACGATGGATGTGGTTTATGTGTGCCTATCTTAGGTCGACATTGGGCAATTTGCTTGGTGGCGACGTCGAGAAGGGTTTGTCGTACTGCAGCGCAGGCTACGTGGTGGGCACGGCCCTCACGGTGCTTTGGAAGTGCCAAGAGTTTTATGCGCCGTGGCTCAAATCCGTGTACGACCTCGGGATGCCACAGTGGACGCGTCATCCATCATGGTCCTGGGTGTTTTCACGCGCGAACGACATGTACACGAGCCGAGACCTCGGTATGCTCCACTGCTGCAGTTGTACTGGATGATGATCGTGTACGCCGTAGCCTTCTACGATATTCTACCCGCTGCACGTCTGCGCAAGAACGAAATGCTCGTTGACATGGACAAGGTGCATCTGCTGAGTATCGCTACAAAGGCCACGGACACCGGACACAGCCTATCAGTGCTTTCGTACCTTCTCCATGCGTTCACACGCGGTCTTGATGCCGACGCATTGTACGACGGTACGGTTATGCTCGCTCGTACTTGATTATACGCGGTTCCAAAGCGCATGGATAGGGTTCGAGAGCGATCACTGGGCGCACAACGATGGGGTTGTCAACACCGTCTCAATGCGCTACCCACGGTCAGACTCGGATGACTCGGATGACAGCGGCAGTGTTACTGATCTCGAAGCCAGCCGAGGGATGGTCCAAGGCAAATGGTACACGCGACTTATTGAGGGGAAAAACCATCTCTGTGGCACGCACTGGGACAATACTGCTGCCGCATTGTACAAAGATGTGTTTGCACAAATAGCCTCTTGGGAAACGTAATGTGTCGAAATATATACGGCTTTTAAGCCGTTAATTTGCAAAAATTCTGCAAGTCCACGCATTCGTTCGCCAAGAAGGTTGCCATACTGCTGTAATTCCTCGCCAGCGAGGGCGAGGTACCGCGAGACAGGAAGTGCTCTCGGTATGACCAAGTCGCGGTGTATCTACGTTGTGCGAGCATTTTCCAAGGTCCTCGCCAGTCGTGCTCCCTATTGGATTCAGCTTCCAATAACCACTGCGGGATGGCGTTCCTTGGAGCGCGCTTTTCAGGCGGAACAAGGCATGGCCTCGGAAACCGTTGCGGCCTTGGACACCAACGTCTGGCGTCGTGACCGCTGGAGGTGGCGTGGGCGGTGGCATGGCAGCAGGCGGCAGCGTCGTGTACAGTATGTAGCCTTCTTGGTGGCAGCCTTCTTGGTGACGGCCTTCTTGGTCACCTTGCGATGCACAGGCGCCTTGTTTGACTCGCGTTGCGCGCCCCGCCATTGTGCGATAAATACCAGAGCTCGTCTGCATGCAACGAAAGTTGATCCGGAATCAACTCCATCCCCTATCCGTACGACATTTTTGTAAAAAAAGGCATCTCGAGTTGAAGTCGACGTTGGCAGACCAGCGCCTTATAAATCTTTACAGGGCCGTATAATGGCTGGTAGAAGGGTAACGGGTTGGCATACCGGTACAATCTGTAGCAGGAAAAAAAAGACTCCTTCAGCTGGGTTCGAATCAGCGACCACTCGGTTAACAGCCGTTCGCACCACCAACCCAGCAGTCCTTAAAAAGCCACTCTGGGCTAAACAAACGCAACTGATGACTACCTCTGCCGCCGCCGCTCGCTCCTCCAACTCCTCGTCTCGTAACGCCGCCGCTTCGACAGTTACGTCTGCTCTCGGAGGCGCTTCGAAACAATCTAATGTGCACGCCGACACGGGCGTTAAGGCCGACCACAGGTGGCCTGGACGCACGCGCGACGCCGAGGCCGCCGACCTCCGTGCG